TTTTGAATATTTTAATAAAAAAAATCTTACATATTGTGCCTTTAAGTCACGTTTTTTTCGACAGCCATTATGGAGTTCACAGAATGACTGTGCCTCAATTCCTGATGAGGTGTGCAGTGATTGAGATGCTCTTACCTGACCATCTTTATGTGGATATTCAGGCATATGTATTTTTATTTGATGCCTAATTTAATCAATACCACCCACTTTTACAAGGAACAAGAACATGGCAAATAATTTGAACTGTTTGTGAATTTTATATTAAATAAAAATGATTTTCAGTGAATAATGATCTAAATTCACAAGAGCTGTTGTATGGCTTTAGAAGACATGAAATATAACACACAAGTCATATGGATCAATTGTTGAGTCCTTTTGAAGCTTGAAAGCCTCAGTCCTCATTTACTGTAATTAAATTGTGTTCCATAGAACAAATAAAGTTGAGGTTTAATAATTTTGGGATGAACTGCTCCTTTAAAATATACCTTCTTAAGACAATAGTACAACTTATCATTGCAGGCTCAATCCATCATTTTAGTGCCACATAATATAAATGCAAATAGAATCTATAAATGCACATTAATATTATATGCACATCCATGTTTTTTGATAAAGAAGAAACCAAGAAAATCAGCATAATCTTTTTTTAGACTAATTAAAGGCATCCCCCACCCAAAAATGCTCTCATCATTTACCGTCCTAGATGTATATGACTTTCTTTCTTCTGTGGAGCACAAACAGAGATTTTTAGAGAAATAATTCATCTCTGTAAGTCCATATAATGCAAGCAGATGGGTTTCTCAAAGTCGACACATTGTAAAAACCATGCAAAATGAGCACGGTGGTATAACCATATGACTCCAGTAGATGACCCAATGTCTTCTGAAATAAAACAATGAACTATAAACCATAGCTTCTGGCCAACTCTCAAATGCAGGTTCATAAGTTCACACTTGATGTGTGACGTATGTGTGTTGTGAAACTTGCACAAGAAGTGACACAGAAGCACAGAGGACCGTCA